ATAGCAGCTTAACCTTCCAGAGCCCCCTCAGGGCATCTGTAGCTCGTCTCCAAGCGCCCATCCGGATCTGAGTTCCACACTTACTTGGAATACTAAAATCTGATGGTAGATTTTGAAGTAGGGCACCTCTCTATTCTTTCAACAAACAGATTTTAGGGTGAATCTCAGTTCTATCAAGTTCATTTTGTAAATTCTAACTTGGAATCTCTAGCTTTTAGAGCAGCAGACCCCTGGAACATTCTGCAGAGATCCAATCGTGCGTTGAAGACGATCTGGTACTGCCGCTCCCCCTACCTTGTAGTTTACAAGGCACTTTCCTCTCTGGCCCTCATCCGTCCTCACAGCAATCCCAGGGTGTTGAGAGCAAGGATTCCTATCCTCATTTCATAGCTGAGGAAATTGGGGACTGTCTGGATAGAAGCAGGGGCAGGGGATTTGTCTGGAAACTGCATTTGCACTGTGAGCATGCTGTTCTTACTTAGTTCGTCTTATTTATTTGATGTGGCTTTGGGGAAACTGACAAAAGAGTAGGACCCCAGAGGGCCTGTCAGCTGTCCCTTGTCACCTGACTACTGACTTCTGATGCTCCATCCCAGTAACTTGACGCTTGCAGGGCTGGGAACCTGGAGGAAATTCACGAAGCAGTGATGGTGGCGGAGGGACCAAGGGAATGTGCAGGGAGGAAATAATAATAATAATAATAATAATAAATAATAACGCACCATGGCAAATATGTCGGGGGAGGCGCTAAGTGATGACAAGGGGACAGGGTAGCTGTCTAAAAATATTTGAAGGATGTAAACACCAATTATTTAGAAGAACAACGATGAAGCCCGGGACAGGCTCATTACCAGTCCCAGAGCCAGCTTGTCTGGCAACAGCCCTTGCAGAACTAAGCTCCTCCATGACCAGAGGCAGGAGGCTCTGCGCACAGTGACTTTGACGCAAGGCATGGGCTGAGTCTGCTAGTTTCCTTGTACCAGCAAGGGCCATGTGCACACTCAACATGCGTATCATCACGGCTGGTATCTGTTGACTTCCTGGTGTTTGGGGTTGAATTGTGTCACCCCGAACAGATATCTGTAGTCCTAACCCCTGGTACTTGTAAACGTGACCTTATTTGAAAATAGAGTCTTTGCAGATGCAATCAAGTTAAGATGAGGTCTGTAGGGTGGGCCTTTATTCCAATATGACTGGTGTTGTTATAAGCAGAGGGAAACTGGGGCACAGACACAGACACACGGGGGCTGCCATGTGATGACAGGCGCAGAGGCGCTGCTGCAAGCCAAGGACAGCCAAGGACTGCCGGCCACTCCCAGAAGCTGGGAAGAGGCAAGGAATGATTCTCCCCCACAGATTTCAGAGGGAGCTTGGGCCTGCCAACTCACTGGACTCGTCTCCAAAACACAGACAATAAAGTCCTGTTTTAAGCCCCCTAATTTGTGGTCCTTTGTTATACCACCCTAGCAAACTAATAGATCCACCTGGTATGTGCCTGGCAGTGCACTGAACATCTCACATCTGAACGGAATGGCATGCATCCTGGGGAAAAGCCTGGAGGCAGGGGAGACCTCCTCTACCCCCAGCGCTGCGAGGAAGGGGTTCCCAGGCCCACTCTGTGGGCTGGAACCTCTCCTGACACCAAACCCTGGCTCTATGGCTGCCTTGGGGCAAATGACTGGCTGCAAGTCTGGATCCAGATCCCTGGGAATCCCTAAGCACAAGACTGTGGTGCCTCCTTAGAGGTAATTTAAAATACAAACAACACTGACCGTATGATTTTAGTTTTCAAAATGACATTAAGTTTACTCATATGCTTTAATTAAGAGGTCGCAGGGGTTTATGTGTGTGTACCCTGTTTGTGGGATCATCCAGCCCTGGGTCTGGGTGGGATTATCCTGAAAAAGCCATATAAGTTAGGAGCTGGCTAACTGGAACTCTGGAAAAGGTGGTGGGGAACAAGGCGCTGGCCTCAGAGGGCCGCATGGCCCCCGGGCTGCACTCCTTCACATCCAGCCTCTGCCCTCTACCCCAGCCCAGACGCATTCTAGGTGGACCTTGCACCTTGCATTTTCCTCAAGCCTGGAGAGGCTTTCTGGGGACCCTGTTTCCCTTTGGCCTTTGATTCGGGATCTCTGACCCTTAGGCCAAGAGATGCTCCTCCCTCCCCTCCGCAGGCGCAGGAGAGAGCCCAGGGACCTTGGGAAGCCTAAGGTGCTAAGTTAATGTTTGGTGAATGTATGGGCCAAAGTCCACTGCTGGTTCTGTGAACAGAGCCTCGAATACTGGGGGATTCTTGGACCCCCAGCATCGTGGGCTGGGGATGGTGGATTGTGAAAGTGGGAGTGGAATCCGGTTTCCTGCCTCTCTGGGCACATGAGGCTCACATTTGGGACTCTGGAGATGTTTTTCATTTTCACACCCTATGATATAAACAAGAGTAATCTAGATCCCTACATATTACCTCCTTTAGTCTTCAGAATAACCCTTTGAGGCGGCACTATTGTCATTTCCCAAATGAGGGACCTGAGGCATAGAGAAGTTGCATGACTTTCCCGAGGTCACCCAGCCACATCTAAGGACGGTAAGCATCATGACAGCCCTGACAGCCCAGTGCACAGTCACCATGATGGGGGCCCCACTGTGCACCCCACATTCACAGGACCTGCTCTGCGGCAGGCCTGGGTGTCACTAGGAGACTGTGGTACACTGATGGGCTTCCGTGTGTGCAACCATTTTATGACTCATTCATATCAGAATGAAGGTCCCGGGTTGCTGACAGGTGCAAAGTTGGCTGGACTTCCTACAGCTCACCTTCTCTGGAGGGCCCCGACTTTGCAGTTTCTTTTCCTTCCAGCATCTTTCCTGCCTACCAGTGCTCCCCTCCCCACCTCTGGGGGAGTCAGCGGCCCAATTCTTTAAGGAGTCGCCAGAGGGAGCTGCCCACAGAGCAATGGGAGAATCTCCCCCAGGCCTGAGCCTGGAGATGGCTGAGCTGTTCTTAGCCTCAGTGAACTTTCACTGTTGAAAGTCACCCAAACTCAAGCAAAAGCTCCTGTTCAGAAATGAAGGGGTTATTTCACTGTGCCCAGGGAACCCTGCTTAATGCTTGAGGCCCTTTCTCACAATGACAGGAAGTAAACGGAAGTAACAAAATGATGATAGTTCAGAGTCCAAAGTTTCAGTTCTGTAAGATAAATAAATGCTGGGAATCTACACAGCATACTGCCTATAGCTAATAATATTGTATTGTACACTAAATGTATACTAAAGAGGGTAACTCTTATGTTACGTGTTCTTAACAGGCACACAGACATACACAGGTGATAGTAATAAAAAGGACAGGAAGAAACTTCTTGAGTGATGGATACGTTTATGGTATAGATTGTGATGATGGTCTCACAGGTGCATACTTATCCCCAGACTCATCGAGTTGTATACATTAAATATGTACAGGTTTTTTAAGTCAGCTAATATATATATATATTTTAAAAACCACCTTATTGGGGCATGTGTATACTCTAGTATATATAGATGTGTGTGTATATGTATGTGTGTATATAGATGTGTGTGTGTATAGATGTGTGTGTATATAGATGTGTGTGTGTATAGATGTGTATACAGATGCGTGTGTGTACAGATGCGTGTGTATATAGATGCGTGTGTGTGTATAGATGTGTGTGTGTGTATATATACTTACACACTCCCAAAACACCTTCCCATTCAAAAGAGGAAAAAGAAGAAAAAGAAACCCAATGGCCCTGGCAGTGTGAGAGGCCCATCCTCTGCGTGTGTCCAGCATCCTGGAAAGCCCGGCAGAGTGCTGGTTACAGCGAGGGCTTTGAGCCAGGTGGACCCAGGTTAGAGTCTGAACCCGGACTCTCCGTACCTGGGTGGCCTTGCGCAGACCCCCGTCTCTGCACCTCACTTCTCCTCTCTGTAATATGGCAGTGGTAACCGCGCCTGGGTGGGGGGACAGCGGTCAGGATTAAGTGGGCTAGTCCATGGAAAGCCCCCAGAGCCTTTGTCAGATTTGAGATGGATCAAGGCCAGCCCGTGTGTGTATGGGATGGGGGGGGGTCTTCTCCATACTCCCTCTAAATTACTCCCTGCACCGCCCCCCTCCACCTCTGCTCCCTCCCAAGATGCTCCCCAACCTGACTCCCCCTGCCCTTGGAACCCTAGGAGTAAAGCCAGCGCTTAGCCTTTCAAACCCCACACCCAGGGACCCCTGGTGCCGGCACCAGGTGGGCGGGGGGCGGGGGGGCGCTGCCTATGTTGGACTTTGGCCCATACGCTCAGGAAACCTTGGGCTTCCGGGGGTCGCTGGGCTCTCTTCCGCGCCCACTGAAGGTTAGGAGGAGGCTCTGTAAGCCCGAGGGTCGGAGATCCTGAATCAAGGGCCAAAGGCGTCTCCCAGCTTCAGGAAAGTGCGAGAGAAGCCCCGGTAAAACGCACGCGGGCCGCGGCAGAGGGCTGGTGCCGGGCGGAAGGAGCACAGCCCGCGGCCCACGGGGCACTTCAGCCCGCCACACCCAGGCCGGGCCGCAGGAGGAGGAGGAGGAGCGCCGCCTGCGCCCTCGGGCTGCTCGGGAGCCGGGGCCGGCTGGCTACGCAAGCGCGGCGCGGCGCCTGGTGAGTGGGGACCGGAAGGCCCCCCGCGCGGGCGAGCCGGAAGGCGGCGGGGGGTGGGGCCTGCGCGCTGGGGCGGCCGCGGGGCCCGGAGACCCTGGCGGGGCGGGGCGGCGGCCGCAGGAGCGCGGGCCGCGTCTCCGCAGGTGAAGGGCTGGGGCGCCCAGGGCGCGGTGCGCGAGGCCTGCGGGCTGCGAGCCGGCCCCACGTCGCTGGGGTATTCATTTGCCACATGAAGACACTGAGGCACGGGGAGGCTGACGTCACGCCAGAAGTAAGCGACAGCGGCCCAGCGGGGGTTAGAATCTGGGCACCTGGACTCAGGGCCCTGGCGCCCAGCGGTGCGCCCTGCAGTGACCCAGGGGCGTGTATGACCGCCCCAGTTACCCACGTGTATGTGCCATCCTTAGTAACCCGGGGGTGTGTGTCACCCTCCTCTGTGTCCCAGGTGCGTGGGTGGGGCGGCAGGGCTTATATATGCAGGACAGAGTCCTAGGATACCTGGTGAGTCAGCACCCCTGGCCTCGCCCTGCGGGGAAACTTTGGTGGGGACTGGTCTAAACAGGGTGCCTGGAGGTCTGTGCTAGCTCTAAACCCTTCCTCTCCCTGCTCTCTCGCAATCTGGTCCATCTCAGAAAGTTGGGCTGCAGTCTCGGGGATGGGCTCATCTCCCACCTTCCCCAGAACCTTGCTGTCATCAGCAGACCAGCCCGGTGCCTGCAAGAAAGCAGGGCTTCAAGTGGGCATTTGCCTTCCCTGTGGCTGGCAGATGGCTTTCTGTGACCAGAGCCCGTGTTGTGGACAAATCTGATTCTGAAATAGGTGTGATATGGGGAGGGAAGGCCCCATTCCCACCCTCTGAGGTCTGTCCCCATCAGAGTACTCTTCCTCCCTCCTCCCTCCTTACTGGCTTCCTTGTTGCTTACAGACAAAGGCAAGCCTGAAACCGGGGTGGGGGGGGTGGGGTAGGGGGGTGGGAGGGGTGGGGTAGGGGG